CACACACACACACACACACACACACACACACACACACACACACACACACACACAGAGAGGCAGCTCCGCCTCCTCTGCAGTGTAGTGACAGCAGCGATGGAGGAGGCAGCAGTGCAGCAGGAAAAGATGGAGGGATCTCGGGAACAGGTGCATGACGGAGGAAAGGCAGACTGGAAAAATGACTGCTCCTTCTCCAACCTGCTGAAACATTCCTGCCTCCTGTGCTGGTCGTCTCCTCGGGACACAGACGTCATCGAGATGGATGACAGAGTGCTCTCCAAGGCAGCTGAGATCAGAGTAAGAAGACCGCAGCACCTCCCTCTGGTGTGTGTGCTCGTCCCTTTCTGTCTTTCTGCCTGCTTCTGTCTTTGCCTCAGATCTGTTAGGGCTTTAATATTATCAATAACTCATGCACCATTTGCATATCAATATGTGCTTACTGTGTTTCCTGAATGGGACTCTTCCATGACTGCATTTCCCAGCATGCTCTCTGGTGATGTCATGATGCTGTGCTTTAAAGCTGTGTTCAAACAGCAATCCTGTCTCACTGAAGCAAACATCAAAGAACATGAGGACTTGTGTCTCAGTCTTTAAAGATTCAAATAGAAAGATATAGATTTTAATTTAGTGTTTTAAAAGGTCTGGAGTTTGAAAGAGTCTTTGTACCATTCTGCAGTTTCTAAAGCCTAAAAGATTTTATTACCAGCAAATAAGAAGAATATTTTAACCACTGATTCTGTGTCAAATAACCTTTTTAAATGGACATAGTCATGCAGGTCATGGAGGTAACAGTTGTAGGAGAGAAACCCAGACCTCCCTCTTTTCAGTGATACTTTCCAGCTTCTCTTGAGAGACCGCAGAGAAGATACAATCCCTGGTTCTGGGTCAGACTCAGGGCCTCCTCCCAGTCGTGATGTTGAAAACCTCCAACAAAGACAAAGAAACCAATGGCATTACAAACAGCTGATGTTTGTAATGCCATTGGTGTCTTTGTCTGGTGTGTCAAAGGTTTTTTTTTTTGTTTTTCATATAATGACTAAATATTTTATTTTTAAGACATTTTCCTTTTTCTTATTATTATTCTGGAAAATATTTTATTCCAACTAAAAGATGTGAAGTTCCATGCGTCAAGATTGTAAGAAGTTCTTCGAGCTGATGAATTGGTTCATTTTATAGATCCAAGTTTATGTGAATCACTCATTAAAGCAGAGGTTCACAAAGTGGAGGGGCACCCCCTGGGGGGGGGGGTTGTGGTACTGCGGGCATGGTCAGCACAGAATCAAAAAAAGGTTTTTTGGACACTGCTGGTATAATGTACGGAGCCCGCGAGGAGACACGGGGAGATTTTTTTTCTTTTGCGTTCCCACGCAATACTATTGCGTTACCTCACAAAACGTTTTGTATTACCTCGCAACTGTTTGTTTTGTATGAACGGAATTAAATCAGACTTTTACTTTGAAATATCTGGTTCCCGAAAAAAAAGTCGTGTCGGCACAATTTTGGGAAATTGACGTTGATATTACATGGCTGCATTGAGTTGAAATATTGGCCTGTGTGATATATTCATTCCAAAGCTGCACCAAATTAGTAGGCTAACTCACTAATGGTGAGCATGTAAATTTGTTTAAAAAAAACCAGCAGGCACAGCAGTGATAAATTACTTTTGCGAAGGAACGCAGAAAGTATTTAGAGGTAATGCAATACTATTGTGTGGGAATGCAAAAGAAAACATCCCCATGTCCCCTTGCGGCTCCGTAGTAATGGACAGAGTTTTGCAGAGCTTCCCCATAAACACATAGAAATGAGGCTTAAATGTGTCACTTTGCTCAACAAATATTTAATTTTCTGCCTCTCAGGAAGTTGTTCATGTTTTTATAACATTTTGCACTGAGAAGCATTTTTGGAAAAAGATTTATTGATAGCAATATTGAATGTTGTCAACAGTTAGTGACACTGTAAAAGTGGTTTGTTGTTTTGTTATTTAAAAGAGGTTGTAGTTTTTTTTTTTTATTTAAACCTGAATTTTTTTTATTTTTATTAACTCTCCTGAGTCAGGAATATTTCCTGTGGGTATTTAGCTCGGAGCATGACTCATTTGAATCCAAAGTACAGGTCCTTCTCAAAAAATTAGCATATTGTGATAAAGGTCATTATTTTCTGTAATGTACTGATAAACATTAAACTTTCATATATTTTAGATTCATTGCACACCAACTGAAGAAGTTCAAGCCTTTTATTGTTTTAATATTGATAATTTTGGCAAAAAAGTAAAGAAAATCCAAAAATCCCTATCTCAAAAAATTAGCATATCATGAAAAGGTTCTCTAAACGACTTATTAACCTAATCATCTGAATCAACAAATTAACTCTAAACACCTGCAAAAGATTCCTGAGGCTTTTAAAAACTTCCAGTCTGGTTCATTACTAAAAACCACAATCATGGGTAAGACTGCTGACCTGACTGCTGTCCAGAAGGCCATCACTGACACCTTCAAGCAAGAGGGTAAGACACAGAAAGACATTTCTGAACCAATAGGCTGTTCCCAGAGTGCTGTATCAAGGCACCTCAGTGGGACGTCTGTGTGGCAGAAAACGCTGCACAATGAGAAGAGTTGTGAGTCAGTGATGGTCTGTGGTGTCATGTCAGCTGCTGGTGTTGGTCCACTGTGTTTTATCAAGGCCAGGGTCAAAGCAGCTATCAGGAGATTTTGGAGCACTTCATGCTTCCATCTGCTGAAAAGCTTTATGGAGATGAAGATTTCATTATTCGGCACGACCTGGCTCCTGCTAACAGTGACAAAACCACTGGTAAATGATTTACTGACCATGGTATTACTGGGCTCAATTGGCCTGCCAACTCTCCTGACCTGAACCCCAGAGAGAATCTGTGGGATATT